CCCCTCTCTCACTGTGGCTCCAGCCCGTGCCAGTGGTGGTGATCCACCAGCAGCCTTCGGGCTCCGTGGCGTGCCACCCGAAGCACTACATGCACCGCAACCTGCGCCACACCAGGCAGCGCAACGCCGTGGTGTACTTCATCGGGCCGGACAGCGACGAGTGCGTGGAGATGGCCAGGGAGCTTGATATTGTTCTGGACCCGGTTATTGGGTACCAAGACGTGGTGGGCTGGTTCTCTGCCAACCTGGGCGATCCTGTCTCTTACCAGGTATGTTCTAGTTCTTTCTGCTAAACCATAACACACGGCTTGATTGGGCTGGACAGCGATGAGTGTGTGGAGATGGTGAGGGAGCTTGATATCATGCGGGACCCCGTCATTGGGTTCAAGGATGTCTTTGGCAGGTTCTCTGCTGATTTGGGCGACCCAGTGTCGTACCAGGCCAGGTGGGTTGAATTGCAGGCAGGGTACGAGGCGAGCTAGATGGTAACCAGGCAGCGCAGCGCAGCGCCGTGCTCTACTTCATTGGGCGGGCCGGACAGCGACGGGTGTGTGCACATGGCCAGGGAGCTCGATATTGTGTTGGATCCGGTCATTGGGTAGGTACCAGGACGTCGTTGGCTGGGTTTCTGCCAACCGCTGGTTCATACCGAAGGCGTTCATGGAGCGCCACGCCTTTCAGCCCACCTTCGCCTCTCACCCCTCTTTTTCATATCGAGCCTTATCCCACCTTGCCCCCCCCCCCCACCCTCAGGTCCGCTGGTTCATTCTGAAGGCCTTCATGGAGCGCCATGCCTTTCCGCGCATCTTCTTCCTCGACTCTGACGTCATCCTCTTCGCCAACGTCACTGAGCTCGCCACCATGCTCTTCTCACGGGTCCACATCGTTGTCTCGCAGCGCTGGCCCAGGTATGGCTGCTTGCGCACTTTGTGCGGCCTGTGGGTGTGACCGTCTGGATATGATCACAGAGGAATTTTCTTTGCCAGCGTCACTGATCAGGCCACCATCCTCTTCTCAAGGGTGCATATCGTAGTGTCGCAGCGCTGGCCCAGGTATGGCTGTCTGCATACCTTATGCGGGTTGTGGGTGTGGGTGTGAACCCAGAGGAATTCTATTCCATCGTCCCCTCCCCCCCCCCCCCGTCCCTCTCTCCCCCAGTCTGCGAGCCCCACGGCCCCGCCAGTACGCGTCCGCAGCTGTCAGCTGAATTGGTTTTTGAGAGTTCTCAGAACCCAGCCAGTACGCGTCCACAGCTGTCAGCTGAATTGGTTTTTGAGAGTTCTCAAAACCCAGCCAGTACGCGTCCACAGTTGTCAGCTGAATTGGTTTTTGAGAGTTCTCAAAACCCAACCAGTACGCGTCCACAACTGTCAGCTGAATTGGCATCCCTCGGGACGGGTCACGGGACCTATGTTGCCCTCTCCTCTTATCGCCTCCCCTGTTTCCTCCCCTCCCCTGTTACCTTCGATCTGTGTTGTCACCCTCTCTCAGCCTAAGGGCCCCGGGTCCTCCCTCCCAGCCAGTACGCGTCCACAGCTGTCAGCTGTCAGATGTGTCCACAGCAGTGCTCGCACACGTGTTCCCACCCTCTCGCCTTATCCCCTTCGCATCCCTTCTTTCCCCCCTTAATTCCCTTCTCACCCCCTCCAGCCTAAGGGCCCCGGGTCCCAGCCAGTACGCGTCTACAGCAGTGAGCGCACACGTCTCCTTCTGGACGTATGATGCCCTCTGTGACTTCCTCGACTTCTTCCAGCTCTTCGTTCAGGTGTGCTCAGGTGGTGCTCAGGTGGTGCTCAGGTGGTGCTCAGGTGGTGCTCAGGTGGTGCTCAGGTGTGTACTCAGGCGTGTGCTTTCCAGGGTAGATTTCCCAGGTGGATAATATACTTTTCTGCTCCCGTATTAGCCCACCCTCCCCTGGTATCCTCATGACTCATGAAGGTCATTCGTTGCTTTTTTTCCTTTTTTCTTTCACTTTCCCTTCCTTATTTTCCCTCTCCAGGAAGCAACTCTGTACGGCCAGCCTGGCGACGCACGTCTTGTAGCAGAGCGTGCTTATAACGACATGGTGGTGCTCGGATGGTACACACACAGAGTCTGCTGGATGAAGAACCCCCAGAATCTACACCCACAGGTACGATATAAGCCCAGCACCCCCAGGTGTGCGTTGAACTCTAAATCCATGGGCATGATGACTCACTTGTGAGTGATTCATTCTCTGCTCTCTATGTCTCCCTCCGCCTCCTCCGGTCCTTCCCCTCCATGCAGTGCTTTCTTGACAAAAAAAGAGGCATGAGGCCTGAGCGGTCAGCTCACATAGGGGGAAAGCTCAGTCCCAAGTTGCTTTTTGCGAATTCTCATGAATCAGCTTGACCCAAGTTCCTCGTGGACTCGTTCCGCATGGCCTCGTTCCCTGGGGACTCGTTCCGTGGGGACTCGTTCGCCAACGAGTGGAATCTCAGAGTTCCACTCTCTGTTTTTCTCGTTGCTAGTCTCACTCCGCCCCTCCCCTCCTCCTCAGTGCATATTTGACAAGGAGAGTGGAGACCCACCTGAGCGATCAGCATGCATCCGAGGGAAGTTCACCCCCAAGTTCCGCATGGACTCGTTTTCCATGCCTCTTACCTTCTCACTCTCTCTTCCTTCCCCTTCTTAATCTTCCATCCCCTTCGTTTTCCAGTGCATCCCTCCCCTTCGTCTTCCAGTGCATCCCTCCCCTTCGTCTTCCAGTGCATCCCTCCCCTTCGTCTTCCAGTGCATCCCTCCCCTTCGTTTTCCAGTGCATCCCTCCCCTTCGTCTTCCAGTGCATCCCTCCCCTTCGTCTTCCAGTGCATCCCTCCCCTTCGTCTTCCAGTGCATCCCTCCCCTTCGTCTTCCAGTGCATCCCTCCCCTTCGTCTTCCAGTGCATCCCTCCCCTTCGTCTTCCAGTGCATCCCTCCCCTTCGTCTTCCAGTGCATCCCTCCCCTTCGTCTTCCAGTGCATCCCTCCCCTTCGTCTTCCAGTGCATCCCTCCCCTTCGTCTTCCAGTGCATCCCTCCCCTTCGTCTTCCAGTGCATCCCTCCCCTTCGTCTTCCAGTGCATCCCTCCCCTTCGTCTTCCAGTGCATCCCTCCCCTTCGTCTTCCAGTGCATCCCTCCGTTTCGTAATCAACAAGGATTTTGGGGTCACCGCTGAACAACCAGCGCGCACAAGGGGCAAGTTCACCCCCAAGTTCCGCAAGGCCATGCCGCGGCAGTGCAATGCCACAGACTGCTGGGCAATTTCACCTCATACTTCTGCGTTGACTCATTTGCCATGCCTCCCCCTTTCTGCGTCTCCCTCCCCTCCCTCCTCTGCTTCCCCCCAGTGCATATTCGACAAGGAGAGTGGCGTGACCCCTGAGAGATCAGCGCGCATCAGGGGCAACTTCACCCTCAAGTTCCGGGTCGACTCGTTTGCCATGCCTCCTCCCTAGCAATACTTTCCCCCCTCTTCCCCCCCCCCCCCTCCCCCTTCCCATCCACAGTGCATATTCGACAAGGAGAGTGGCGTGACCCCTGAGAGATCAGCGCGCATCAGGGGCAAGTTCACCCCTAAGTTCCGCGTTGATTCGTTTGCCATGCCGCGGTGGTGCAATGCCACGGACTGGTGGGACGAGGGGTGGTGCGTCTTCGATAACAACTTCTCCATACAGGTAATAAGAGCCCCTCCCTAAAGGTGATAAGAGCTTCTCCCTACAGGTGATAAGAGCCGTCTATCCAGCTGATACATGTTCTCGGACATTGTAAATTCTCCAGACATTTTTCACGAGCTTTTTCTCAGGCTTTTTCCTCCTCAGAATCTGTAATAGCTTCTCCGTATGCCAATTTAGTATTCCCAGAGTAGAATGCAGTCAGAATTATATCAGGAACCCCCCTCCCCTTCTCCCCCCCCCCCCCCCCCCCCAACCAACCTCAAGACAGGATGAAGTGTCCTGTATTGATGCTCTACACTCACCTGTTGGGTTGACCCCTCCGTCCCCTTCCCCTTCCCCTCAATTTCTCCCTCCCCCCTCTCCTCCCTCCTTGCAGACCCCCACGCAGTTTGTCAAACACTGGCCTCAAGACGACATGAGGTGTCCATCATCTGTGAAGTACATTTGCTCTGAACACTTCACTTGACGCCCCTTACCCCTTTCCCCCTCACTCCACCCCCCCACCCCCTCAGACCCCCACTCATTTCTTCAAGTACCAGCCTCAGGATGGCATGAAATGCCTGGCATCTATGCAGTACACTAACTTCAATGAGCCGACTCCCCCATCTCGTTCCCCTTCCCCTCCGCTCATCACTCCCCCTCCCCCCTCTCCTCCCCCCAGACCCCCACTCAGTTTTTCAAGTACCGGCCGCAAGACGGCATGAAGTGCCCCTCTTCCATGCACTACACTCACTTTGACGACTGGGGTAAGGAGGGCGAGAAGCAGACGTCTCCGGTTCAATTCCTGGGAGTGCACTTTCAGGCGCACAGAAAGGGGTACCTCACAAGGGGGGATGACCCAGCAGCTACGTGGGGTTCAAGCCCTGATTGATAATCTGACGACACACGTTACGGTGTGTGATATTGAGAGGAGGCTAAAGAAATGGGTTGCAAGGTAAAATTATTCGTACCATTTTACTAGTGATTGTTTGGTGCCTTAATATGCACCGATGCTGGGTGTAGCTACTGAATGCCTCTTGCGCCTTCATATCCTCCAATAACATGCATTGTACATGTGGAAGGTCATGGCCAAGATCGCATTCCCTTACCCTTACTCCATGAGCCTAAAAATCTATATTTTGAATCGCATAAGTGCATGGCATACCGCGCAAAGGTTCGTGTAGCAACTCTATAACGAAAAATCACCACCGGGTTGTAGCCCCAGCGCAGCTGCCAGGCAATCTTGGGACACACCACAAGAGGGGTGCTTTCGGCAAGTTTCACGAGGTCTGCTTTGGTAAAATACGTTTAGAAGTGGTGACAGATTCAACCTCCAGGTTTCTTTCTGTGCTTTTGCTGCCGTCCTCGGGAATATCCGTTTTCTGCCGAGTTAGCTTTTCTGTATCTCCAGAGTCCAGACCAGATTCTCCCATTGCTACCTGTTCTCCTTCTCTCAAATTCCGCCCTGACATGGCGTCTGTGGATGAAGTGCATATGTACTAAAAGTTGCAGTTTTATCCGTTTTCGTCTGCAGCTCTTACGTGCGCGAGTATTTGTAGGTCGCTTTAAGAAGGTCCATATTTTCTCGGATTTCGTCTTACGCTAGTTCTCATTCTCGACCTCTGGTTTCGCAACTTTTATTACGCTAGTCCGTGCATCTTCTCGGCCGAAAAATGGCTGGTTTACCCGAAGACGTCGCCGCGTCGAGCAGCTTTATTCCGCCGAAAGCTCCTATCCCCGCAGAAATGAACAGCAGCGGCAGCAGCAGCAGCAAGAACGCCGAAACAGAGGCCGATTCCATGACCAAGCCGCTCGTCTCTCGCCGCGACGACGACGAAGATAACGATGAGGAAACCGGCGGGTTGAATCGAGGAAACTCAGGCCATTCGGGAAGTTCAGGATTCTCTGGAAGGTCAGGCATGGCGAAATTCTCCGAAGAAAGCGGCGAAAGCGGCGGCCGTCTTGGCGCCAGCAGCCATCTGAATCTGGACGCCTCCGCGTCCGTGTTCAACGAATCCGAGCGTCCCATTCGCGAGCCGATTTGGGTCGGCGCTTTCATAATCTGCGCAGCGGTTTTCATCCTAAGGGAGTTCACCTGGTTCATCCGACCGTTGCTGTCGCTCCGCTCTTTCGCGCTCCATTTCTTCTCCCTGGAGTCGCTCGCGGCGCTAGCGATCGCCATGGCGTCGATCTTCCCGACGATGTTCGTCTTTCTCGTCTTCGTTAGAAGGATGTCCGTTAAGCTCGTCAAGTGGTGCCTCAGAATAGCCGTCGCGTTCTTCATCATTCACAGCCTCATGGCGCTTCACACGCGGCATCCGCCGCCGGATTCCCCGCCGTCTCCCGCGGTGGCTGATGCTCCCCCGCAGCCTACGCAGACCTCATTTTCCGGAATTTCCGGGACCTTACCCGCATCCACGTCAGCAGCTAGCAGCTCCGGCCAATCCGCTGCGAGTATCTTGCAATCTGCGGCTCCTTTCTCCATGTCGCGTTTCCTGCTTGCCACGTCAGCAGCAGAGGGATCTCACATCCACGCTGTCACTGCCAAGGCAGCTGGACATCTTGCTGCTTACCTCAGCAGGCGAAAGCTCCAGGAAGCTACAGTAGCAACGCCAGCGGAAAATCCGAATCCGCCAGTGCCGCAAGGAGGGGATCCTAATGCCAATTCGGTACTCGGTCTCGAAATGTTCCTAACAGACTTACTTAATGGTTTGGCCGTGCTTGCAGTGCTGCTGGTCTGCAGAGATTACCACCCTCTTTCGGCCACTGTGATTGGCCGAGCGTCCCAGGCTGTGATGACTCGAGCCCGGGGTCTCATTGTCGGGGTTGCGATCTTCTCTTTCCTCTGCATCATCCTGTTTGTACCCGTTATAGCCAGCCTCGTGGAGCTGTTTTTTACCTGCAGATTCCTCGCCCAGCAGGACCCACAATTCGGATCTCCCGAGTCGCCCTTTCACCCGCAGGAGGAGAGGTGCCTCTTATGGAGTGACTCTATATCGGTTCAGCACTGGCTCTCTCCACTCGCTGTAATCTTCCTCTTTATAGGCATCTGGATGGCGTATCAAATCGGCGTGACTCTTCAGTTCATCGCTGCAGCTACAGTAGCGCAGGTCTACAGTAACATGCAGTCAACCGAGTCAGACCCCAGCAACAGCAACAGCAACAGCAACAGCAGCAGCAACAGCAGTGGGGGAAGTTTGCAGGAAGAAGCAGGAGGGTGGTTTGATCGGGATGCTCTGGTTGATCGATGGAACATTGTGGCTAGAGCTGTCAAGCTGGCGTATTCCTCCTCTATGGGAACCATCTGCCTTGTCAGTTTCATTCTCACCCTCGCTACTGTGGCATCCGTCCTGCTTAATGTCCTGGTGATTTCTCTCCTGGGGATGACGACGATCGTGGTGGTGCCACGTGTCGCCATCGCATTCGCTCTCTTCATCTTCACGTACTTCTTCACCTGGTGAGTCAAGCTCCGTGCCGTGGGACTGCTACCCCCATGTCCTTGTTTTGTCCGACTCCCCTTTATGCCCAATCAGTGCCTTGTGCTGTGCTTCCCCCTGCGCTTCCATTCCCTGCCCTCCCTCTCCACGCACCCTCCCCCCTTCCCCCCCTTTTCCCCCCCCCCCTTTCCCCACCTTCCCCCCCTTTCCCCCCCTTCCCCCCCTTTCCCCCCCCCCCCTTTCCCCCCCTTTCCCCCCCTTTCCCCCCCTTCCCCCCTTTCCCCCCCTTTCCCCCCCTTTCCCCCCCTTTCCCCCCCTTTCCCCCCCTTTCCCCCCCTTTCCCCCCTTTCCCCCCCTTTCCCCCCCTTTCCCCCCCCCCCCCCTTTCCCCCCCTTTCCCCCCCTTTCCCCCCCCCTTTCCCCCCCTTTCCCCCCCTTTCCCCCCCTTTCCCCCCCCTTTCCCCCCCCTTTCCCCCCCTTCCCCCCCCTTTCCCCCCCCTTTCCCCCCTTTCCCCCCCCCTTTCCCCCCCCTTTCCCCCCCTTTCCCCCCCCTTTCCCCCCTTTCCCCCCCTTTCCCCCCCCTTTCCCCCCCCTTTTCCCCCCCCCCTTTCCCCCACTTTTCCCCCCCTCCCTCCCCGCCCCTTGCCCTCGTCCTCCCACCTTACCCCCCCCGTCCGCGTTCCTTCCTCCCACGCACCCCTCTCTCCAGGCTCGTGGTGGTGGTGGCTGCCATCTCGGGCCACGGCTCTCGCCGTTCCCTGGCCCTGTCTGTCTCCCTGCTGCGCAACCACCTCAAGTCGGCCCTCGCCGTCAACCTCACTGCCAAGTGCATCCTGGGGGTCATCTCAACCGTCGCCACCTTTGTGCTCTTCATCTTCTTCGTAAGCTGCCCCTGTCCCCTGCATTAGCCGTTCCTGTCCCCTGCATTAGCTGTCAACTTCACTGCCAAGTGCATCCTGGGGATCATCTCCCCTATCGCCACCTTCGTTCTCTTCATCTTCTTTGTAAGCTGTCTCTGTCCCCTGCATTAGCTGTCTCTGTCCCCTTTATTAACCCTCCCTCCTCTTGTTATTCGTCCCTCCCCCCTCCTCTTCAGCCCCTCTCAATGCTTCCTCCGTCCAGCCATTTCCTCAGTCTAGGCACCATCCACGCCATCCTTTCAATCCAACCCCCTCCCGTCTCCCTTCCTCTCTGTTCGTCCCTCCCGTTCACTTCCATACCCCCACACCGCCCCTCTCCCAGTCTATCCCTCCCTTCCCTCCCAGTCTATCCCCATGGCCATCTCCGCAAGGCAGACACCACCCAGGCCATCTTCGTCTTCCCCCCACCCCCTCTCACCTCCGTACTTCCACTCCCCAACCCCCCTTCCCCTTCCTTTCCCTACTCCATTCTCATGCTGCCTCTCTTTGGCCATCTCCTCAATGCAGACACCATCCAGGCCAACTTTGTCTTCCTCATCTCTCTTTCTCATCCTATTTTGTTTTTGTCATCCCCACTCGTCTTCTCCCGCTGCCCTCTTTACCCACTCTCTACCCCCCCCCCCCCCTCCCCTCTCTCCACACCCCTCCCAACAGTCGATTCTCATGCTGCCTCTCTTCGGCCACCTTCTCAAGTCAGACACCATCCAAGCTATCTTCGTCTTCCTCCCAGTGGCTCTCGCCGTCCTCATTACAGTCTTCTCCTTTAAGCTCGTCTTTGTGCCAGTCGTCGCCACCATGTTTGTGTGCTTTGCGTGGGACAACCGCATAGAGATGGATTCTGCCACTGGGGGTGTGGCTGGGGGTGCTGCTGCTCCCTTGTCGATGACACGGCTTGGAGGGGAGTCCGAGGAGCTGACGGCCACAGTGGTGAACAGGGCCAGTGGTTAGGTGTTTGACAGGCCTCCACATGTTTGTGATCTTGGCATGGGACAACCACAAAGAGATGGATTCAGCTGGGGGTGCTGCTGGGGGTGCTGTTGCTTCCCTGCCTGGATCTCGGCCTGGAGGGGATTCAGAGGAAAGAGGAATTCACTGCAGCAGTGGCCAATAGGAATTGATACAACTGCTGGCTAGATGTGTAATACTCCCAAACCTGCTGTCTGTGTGTGCCCGTCTTGGGTCACACCAGGGCTGTGCTTAGGCCCCCTACAGCTGAAAGCTTATTCAGAAGTGGCGGTGTGGAATGACAGACGGCCATGTGGCGCACTTGGGTAGCAGTTCACTTGTTTTACCCATCCATTCATGCGCTGCTTTCACCCATACGGTACCATGGATTCTATACCCTTCATGAACGTTTCTGATCCCTGATTTTCCATTGTTGATTCGCACTCTTATATGGCTAGAGGGATACTACCCTACCAGGCGAGTGGTGAAGTGACTCTCCAGAGTCCAGATCATTGCGCATAAGACAATCCCCAAGGCTCTCCAGATCTTTCAATCTAAATGAAGAAATGCACGCACCACGACTCCCCTACTCACACACACAGCCCCCCCTTCCCCTCCTTCCCACTTCTCTCTCCCTCTCCCTACCCCCCCCCCCACCCCCTTTTCCCTCCTGATCCTCTCTCCCCCCTCTTCCCTTATCCTCTCTCGCCAAAACTCGAGGGAGAAAGTAAGAGGTCAGAAGGACCTAGTGGGGGAGGGGGGTGGGATGAACGTGATAGAAGCGGGGCGGGGGCTGCATAGACCAACCGTGTGTGCCAACCGTGGACCAACCGTGGACCAACCGTGGGCCAACCGTGGGCCAACCGTGGACCAACCGTGGACCAACCGTGGACCAACCGTGGACCAACCGTGGACCAACCGTGGGCCAACCGTGGGCCAACCGTGGGCCAACCGTGGGCCAACCGTGGACCAACAGGAAGACTAAGAGCACTTACGGGAGCTCAAGGCCAGAACGGGCGACAATGAGATGAGAGTTTTGAATGGAGGAACCAGGGGGGGGGGATAGGGGGGGACAGGGAAGGACGCTGGACTTACACACTGTAGAAATGAAGGGTGTTGATAGGCAGGGGCACAGACAGGGAAAGGGAAGTAGGAGAGCCCAATGCAGACAACCGCATCCTCAATATTGAATTCACCCACGCTGCCAAATACCCTCAGCAGCACAGTGGAATCGATAAAAACAGATTCGGCTACATTGCAAAAGAGAAATTAGAATGCCGTTTTCCAATTCACTCAGTACACTACTTCGCCGGTTGCTGAATATGTGATGAATCGGCGGCCTTATGCGCGTCTTTCACTGTAGCTTCCTTCAGCGCCGCTGCAGCTACTACAGCGGCCGCATCGTCGGATGCTGGCTTCCTGCTCCACGCACGAATCACGGGACGGAGAGGACAAAAATGAGGCGATCAGAGGGAAAGAGACTATTTTTGAGGCGCCTCGAAAATAGGCTGCTTCGGCGAAGGGGTCGTCGGATGCTGTCTTCCTGATCTGCACAGAATCAAGGGAAGAAGCGGAGGGAAGAGGGTAAGAGAGAAGGGCGGAGAACGGTGAGGGATCTTCACACCAAAATCGTCGTCAGCTGCTGCCTTCCTCCTCCGGGCACGAATTGAGGGAAGAAGCGGACGAAAAACGTGAGGGAAGGGGAGAGGAAGTGGGCAGGACGGACGAGATCGTTGGGGGAAGTGGAGGGGAGCGGGTAAGAGAGAAGGGCGGAGAACGGGAAATAAGTTCGTCGAGGCTGGAGATGGCGGCAGCATTGCTGAATCCGTCACAGGCTACAGCCATGAGCGAAGAAGAGCGACGGGGGTATGCGGGTATTGCACTGCATCACCGGTCATCCATCGATAAGGGACCAAAAATGCAAGCGAGTAAGCACGCGAGCAAGCAAGTAAGCACGGAGGAGGAGGGGTAAGCCTAAGAAGCAGAGGGGAGCTTACTTCTTCTCGACGGCCGCGCCCTTGGTGCTCAGAAACGAACGGAAGAGCGCCGAGTTGACGTCGTAAATCATGTTGCGTGGCTGACGGACGACTGACGAGCACAAGCTGCGTATGTTAAAGAAGGCACGCGTTTCAGGAGCGAGGCGAGCGAGGCGAGCGACGTAAACGTGAGAGAAGATTCACGCAAGAGCGACTACTGCTGAAGGAAAAGAAAAATGAAATGAGAGGCGAAACGACCAATGGCGGAATGCTTGTAGTTGTCCCTTGGTGACTCCGATAATATCTTGTCCTAGTTGTGGGTCAGATTCTGGTTGTTTCTGTGCGGTACCATGCGGTTCTGATAAAAAACATTGTGTAATAGAGATTTACAGAGTGGTGCTGCTGAGTTGAGAAGACGGATTGCCCTAAAACCCTCTCCAGCTCCAGCGAGGGGACATCGGGTTACAGAATTTTGCGATAAGCGAGAACGATACTGTGCAGGTGATGTTACGCAAGGAACTTATGCTACTCGCAAACGAAACAGGCTCTCATCGTAATACGTACTTTAGCGAGTCACGCTAAAGATGAGTCGCTTTAGACCAGTTCCCCCCCAACGCGCACTCACACCCACCACATAATTGGCTTGAGAATGACGTCACTTTCTCCTAGCCATTCTGATTCCCGTTCCCCTTGGCTAGGCTGGGTAGCTAGTGGTAGCCTCCTACGTGACGAGGTCTTCGGTTCGCCCAGCAAACTCCACTTCTCGTCATTTCTCCTCTTCCTTGAGCAGTTTGGGTCAGAGCACTGACGATCACTGGCAGCGGATCTTCTCTCTAGTTCTCCTAAGCAATTTATGGCTAGGATGCTTGCTAACAAGCTCTATGGTCCGCATATGCCAGAGTGGGCCTGGAGAATTGGGCTCGGAAGAGTTAATTCTGGAACGACGTTCTTGTCGCCGCTTTTGCCTACTCGAGAGAGCGTGCTCCAGTCGCGAGTTCACTCGGGAGTCAGAGAAGGCGTCGCTAGAAGCAACAGCAGACGCATTAGCAGTAGCAGCAGCACTAGCAGCAGCAGTGGCAGCCGTAGTGACGCCATCCGAAGCGGTTTCAGCTCTATGGTTGCTAGTAAGACGGATACTAATTCGATGCAGCAGCACAGATCAACGTCTCACGTAGCGCTAGAGCGTAGTAGCAACGCGTTAGTAGGTAGTTCCCGGCTCGGTCGCAGCATAGCAACGACGTCCATAGTTCCCGACGCTCCGCCAATCACGGACGGACAGCTGGAGCAGCTGCACGATTTCGTGGCCGGCAGCAGGCGACTCCTGGTGCTGACTGGCGCTGGGATAAGCACGGAGAGCGGCATACCCGATTACAGGAGGTGAGTCTGTATATATTACCATGTCAAGCTGATAGCGGGGATGTCTTTGGAGCAGCTGCACGATTTCGTGGCCGGCAGCAGGCGACTGCTAGTGCTGACGGGTGCGGGGATAAGCACAGATAGCGGCTTTTCCGATTGCAGGAGGTGAGTCTACAAAATGGATGTGACTGGCTATGGAAGTGCAACTTGTTGTCTCTTGAGTAGGCTCAAAAGTCACCTCGAGAGCGGCATTCCTGATTACAGGAGGTGAGTCTATAAAATAGATGTGCCTGGGTTATGAAATGCAATTTGTTGGCCCTTGAAGTGCAATTTCTGTTTCTTTGAGCGAATCACTACGTGACTGGCGCTGTATACGCTCTGAAAGCGGCATTCCGGATTACATGAGGTGAGTCTATAATATGGATGGATGTGACTCCCTTATGAAGTGCAATTAGTGGCTCTCAAAGGGCAATTTCTATTTCCTTGAGCGCGAATTGCTACTTTTGCGCACGATTTTTCGCCTTCTGGATACTTGCTTGCAGCCCAGGCGGAGCATACAGTAAGGGGTACAAGCCAATGATCCACCAGGCAGGTACTTGAGTCCCCTTCTACACCTCTCTGGCAATCTTAAAGCCCAGGTCCCAAATTGCAAGCCGCGAAAAGTGCGCGCGGATTGGGCGAGACCTGGGGCAAAGTGAGTGGCTGCGAGAATGAGAATTCTCAAAAACACATTCGAGAATCACGAGGCAAAAGCAAAACACATTGGGCGAGACCTGGGGCAAAGTCAGTGGCTGCGAGAATCACGAAGCTTGAGTTTTTCGGGAAGCGAGGGGGGCGAATTCGTGGTCCAATGAAAGCCTTGCGTTTTCAGGTCCCAAATTGCAAGCCAGGGGCAATCCCTCCCTTAGCCACATTGTGCAGTTCCGCTCGGGCTCATTGAGTTACAGCTTTCGCACGCCAGGTCTGACGCGATCCTTTTTTGTTAACAAAAATGCTCACGCCTTGCAACTTGGGACCTGGGCTCTAAGTGTTGCAATAATAGCACCGCACATGTTGTTGTTAAACGCTAGTAGCAATCTAAACTGAAGCTTGCGATAGCACGCCTCATCCCGCCTCTAATCTCCTTCAGCGCACGGCTGCATGCCCTCGGAACCCAAAGCAGTACTGGCTTCGTAGCAGCCTCCCTGGTCTCTCTCTCACCCCCTCTCTGTCCTGTGCCTCTAAGCGAATCCATTTTGTTCTGGCTGCTGCCCTCCCTCTATGCCGTGTTGTCCCCTCCCCCCTGTCGGTTCATCCTCCCCCAGGACTTCGTTCGTTCCTTGGCTGCCCGGAGGCGCTACTGGGCTCGCAGCTTCATTGGCTGGCGGAGATTTTCAGATGCCCGGCCGGGCATGGCGCACAGAGCACTGGCGCGGCTGCATGAGAGGGGGCGAGTGGAGGGCGGCATCATCACCCAGAACGTTGACAGGCGAGTAGAGACTTTGACAGGTAGGTTGTCTAGGCGACTATCGCCTCCGGCGCAGCGAAAAGTATTTATAAATACTTGTGCAAATAGCCTCAAGGGCCTTGCCTCATAATCTGATCTCAAAGTGGTTGCAAGTTGTCAAACACACAAGCATTCCACTAGTTCCAATGAGATACAAAGAACAAATGTTCAACCAGATTTATAGTGGAAGTACAAGCAATTTCGCGCTTCGTAACTGCCGTGTGCGCTGCGAGTAACTCGCGCGCCTCGTGTCATACCGAGTCGCACACGCAATCGCGACTTTCTTGCTGAACACGCCGTCGGTCCGAAGTCCGAATGCTTGTTGAACACGCCCCGTCCGAAACCCAACTTTTGCCCCACGTCAATCTGTTTCTCGCCACTTCCATTCCTTTCTTCCACTCAACTCCTCCATCTCCTTTCTCTCCACCAATCTTCTCTCAACCTTCTCTCTTTCTTCTCCCCTTTCCGTACACCTCATGCTCACGCAATACCCGCTTCCTAGTTCCTTCTCCTCCCAAGTCCGCATTTCTCTCCTCGTCACCCCAAGTCACGAGTAGTCCGTTGTGGGTGGCGGAACCACTCCAACAGGTTGTGAGTGACAGATGATTTCTTAGGCATGATAGGGGCAGTGGCATGCATGGCGCACAGAGCTCTGGCGCGGCCGCATGAGAGGGGGAGAGTAGAGGGCGGAATTATCCTCCAGAACGTCGACAGGTGAGTTGGACTGTGACAGTATGTATGTGCTGTGGCAGATCACAGTAGGTGTGGTGTGGCAGATGACAGCAGGTGTGGTGTGGCAGATGACAGCAGGTGTGGTGTGGCAGATGACAGCAGGTGTGGTGGGGCAGATGACAGCAGGTGTGGTGGGGCAGATGACAGCAGGTGTGGTGGGGCAGATGACAGCAGGTGTGGTGGGGCAGATCACAGTAGGTGTGGTGGGGCAGATGACAGCAGGTGTGGTGTGGCAGATGACAGCAGGTGTGGTGGGGCAGATGACAGCAGGTGTGGTGGGGCAGATGACAGCAGGTGTGGTGGGGCAGATGACAGCAGGTGTGGTGGGGCAGATGACAGCAGGTGTGGTGGGGCAGATGACAGCAGGTGTGGTGGGGCAGATGACAGCAGGTGTGGTGGGGCAGATGACAGCAGGTGTGGTGGGGCAGATGACAGCAGGTGTGGTGGGGCAGATGACAGCAGGTGTGGTGGGGCAGATGACAGCAGGTGTGGTGGGGCAGATGACAGCAGGTGTGGTGGGGCAGATGACAGCAGGTGTGGTGGGGCAGATGACAGCAGGTGTGCAGATGAGGTTGAGTGGAGGGCATGACTGACTGGGACGATGAGGGCTTGCAATCACCCCCCCTTGCAATCACTCCCCCTTGCAATCACCCCCCCTTGCAATCACCCCCCCTTGCAATCACCCCCCCTTGCAATCATCCCCCCATCTGCCGTTCGCACTCCCCTCCACACTCCCATCCCGCCCTCCCTCGCATTCCTTCTTTTGAGTTGACTCAAAAGCCTCCCATTCCTTCCTCCGTTTCCACGCACCTTCAGACTTCAGTCGGCCTCCCAAAATGCCCTAGGCACTCCATTTGCTTGTACCACCACTCCACCCCCCCGCTGCCCTCCACCGCTCTCCACCAGACTCCACGGCATTGCAGGCAGTCCGGCTCTCGAACTACGAGTAAACTGCCCTTGTTATGCCACCCCGCCCCTCCCCTCCACCACCCCACGGCACCGCACCCCTCACCCGTCACTTCCACCACTCCCCGACAGACTCCACCACATTGCAGGCAGCCCGGCTCTTGAGCTCCATGGCACCACTCACGAGGTATGTGTGGCTGTGCTGAGCTTAGAGGTCTACAGTAGTGAGTGTTGAGACGTCTCAAAACTGAACTACGTCCACACTGCGTGGCTGTGCTGAGCTTAGGGGTCACTCTCCAAGCCAAGGGCATGAAATATGGGAGTGTGTTGAAGGGCATTACACCCCAAATTCCATAGGGTGAATTGGCATTGAAGGACAAAAAACGGTTTCCTGATTTTGGGATATCGCATATCGCATTTTGAGTGAGACAATTAATAATATCGCAAATGCAAATGCGATATATCACGCAATGCGATAATACATCGCATCGCAATTACTGTATGTGGAAAAAAAACGAAGTATCTGATCGGACAGGAAAAAATAGTGCAGAAATTAGACACAACAAGGGTCTCACTCAGGTTTGACACAGGTGCGAGCCCCCGTGGTATAGCGGCCCGACTTTCATCCAGGGTATACGAGGGTTCATGAAAGCAATTGTTGTTGTGAGTGCTGAAGATTTGAAAACGTTCTTAGGCTAGGTAGGAGGTGGGAGTTGGTGTGTAGGGCTTGGAAGAAACGGGCGTCATTCTGATTCTGCAAAAGGAGAATCAGAATGGCGCGTTTTTCTGGGTTTTGTGTCCTCTCCCCCCCCCCCTTCCCCACCCCCAACCCCAACCCTGACGAAAATTCGCGATGCGATCAATTATATCGCATGCGATACCATAACATCGCATATCACACTTTTGTCGCGTTTCGTTTCACCATCTGGTTTGTCTGCAGTGTGGGGCACAAGGAGTATTTTTGGGGGTGCCTCAAAAATACTTTTGTTTCGTCTCTCCTCTCTTTCCCACGCCAGGTGGTGTGTCTGCAATGTGTGGCCGAGGTGACTTTTGAGGTGTCTGCAATGTGGGGCCGAGGTGACTTTTGAGGTGTCTGCAATGTCGGGCCGAGGCACCTCAAAAGTCACCTCGTTTCGTTTCTCCTCTCCTCCCCACACCAGGCGGTTTGTCTGCAGTGTGGGGCACAAGGAGTAATTTTGGGGCGGCTAAAAAATACTTTCGTTTCGTCTCTCCTCTCCTTCCCACCCACACCAGGTGGTCTGTCTGCAGTGTGGGGGCATCTCGTGCCGGCGACAGTTCCAAGAAGAGATTAGAGAGGCCAACCCAGAGGTGCGTGCTGCTGTTTTCATTTTGGCCCTTTTTTTCACGAAATCCGTGGATTGTTTTGAGCCAATATTGGGGCAAGCTGGCTGGGTTGAGTCGAGGCATAAACTAAGCATCACTCTGAGCTGGAGCGTACCACAGAGCAAGCTCCCTCCCCTTCCTTCCATACCCAAACAGTGGGCATTGCTTTTGAGTCGACTCGTAAGCAATCTTGAGGCATGCTGGGGGGGTTGAGTTGAAGCATTAAATTAGAATCACTCTGAGCTGGAGCATAACACAGATCGATTTTTGAGGCGGCTAAAAAATCGTCTGGGTTGAGTTGAAGCATTAAATCAAAATCACTCTGAGCTGGAGTGTATCACAGATCGCGCTGGCTCCCTCCCCTTCCTTCCATACTCGAGCAGTGGGCGGCAGCAGTGGCGCACTTGGAAGAGGGTAAACCAGCCGGGTCGGACGAATCGTTTGGCATGAGGAGGCGGCGGCGGCAGAGGAATGGTGACCCAAGGAACGCCGCCTCTGGACCCGTGGAGCCGAGCAGTGCCGGTTCTGAGGTGTCTGAAAAGGAGCTGATGGGAATGCGGAGGCGCCCGGATGGGGATATAGAGATCAGCGAGGAGGAGTGGGAGAGGCATGGGGAGTTCCGTGTGCCGAGCTGCGGCACGTGTGGCGGTGTGCTGAAACCCAATGTGAGTGGTGCGTGGGGATGGGGAGGGAGGATGGAGTGCATGAGATGGGGGACATTGAGATACGTGGGGAGGAGCAGGAGTGGCAAGGAGAGCTGGGTACTCCTTCTGGGGTGCCTTTGAAAGAGTTGATGGGGATGGGGAGAAGGCCGGATGGCGATATTGAGATTGGTGAAGAGGAGTGGGAGTGGCAAGGAGAGCTGGGTGGGTACTCCTTCTGGGGTGCCTGAGAAAGAGCTGATGGGGATGCGGAGCAGGCAAGGGCGGAGTGAAGGGGGGAATGGGGAGTCAAGTCAAGCAGTGCTGATTCTGGGGTGTCTGAGAAGTAGCTGATGGGGATGCGGAGGAGGCCGGATGGCGATATAGAGATTGGTGAAGACGAGTGGGAGAGAGACACGGGGAGGTTAATGTGCCGAGATGTGGCACGTGTGGCAGTGTGCTGAAACCCAATGTGAGTGCTGGATGGGGATGGAGAGCGGATTAATATGCGAGGGGGACTGAATGGGAGGTTAGATGGATGAGGAGTGGGAGAGGCATGGGGATTTCCATGTGCCGAGCTGTGGCAAGTGTGGCGGTGTGCTGAAACCAATGTGAGTGCTCGAGGAGGGCAGGAGGGGGGATGGGGAGTGTGAAAGTGAAATGCTTGAGTAGGTAGGAGTGGGAAAGGAGTGGGAGATGCACGGGGAGATGCACGGGGAGATGCACGGGGAGTTTAACGTGCTGAGGGGTGGCAACTTCTGAGGTGCCGCAAAATTTGGTGGTGTGTTGAAACCCAATGTGGGCGCGGGATGGATGGGAGGCTATAACCTGGTGACTTTTGAGTCGACTCAAAAGTCACCTCGTTACAATGTCACACAACACTGCCGCGGGATGGATGGGAGGCTATAACCTCACTATGTGGGTATATGCTATATGCTCTTATACCCAACAGCACATCCCTATGTCTGTAGACGTGTCCTGCTGCTTGTTCTATCAAGGACTGGAGGCTGCTGCTGTAGGCCTGCTCAATCTCGGTAAAATTTGTAGTCAACCCAAATACTACCTACAGCTGCTGCTGTAGGTCTGCACAATCTTGCCCCCCTCTTTCTGCTCTTATACTCCTCATGCTTCCTCTTCTACCCCGGGCAGGTTGTTCTTTTCGGCGACAACCTTCCGCCTGCCCGCAATCAAGAAGCTGCCCGGATGATGTCATCTGCAGACTCCCTATTGGTTGTTGGCTCGTCTCTGATGGTGCTCTCAGCTTTCAGGATTGCAAGGTGCGGGGATAGAAAGCACCAATATAAAAGAAGCTAGCTAGCCTCTTTGTCCGCTCTCCCCTTCCTCCTTTTTTTTCATGACCACTCGTTCCTACACTCCAGCCAGTGCGGGGATCGAGGAAAGTGCTGGCTGTGGGCCCTCCACGTGCTGATGGTATTGCTGTACCCTCCCCCCCCCCCTCCCGCACACCCGAACCCACCCCCTGCGCCCCCGTCCAGCCAGTGCGTGGATCAAGGGAAGCCGCTAGCAGTGCTGGCTGTGGGCCCCACTCGTGCTGATGCTATAGCTGGGATCAAGATAGAGGCGAGATGTGGGGAGGTGAGTTAGGGCCATGGGAGGGGGGGGATGTGGAAAGATGAACGTCGAGGGTTGAGTGATTTTGCAGGCGCCTCAAAGGAAGGGGAGGGATTCACAAGGGTGAACAATGAGAGAACTTTCGAGTCTTCAGACTTGGCGGTTTAGAGAGGGGCAGAGTTGTGAAAACTTGCTTCTTGCATCGCTCCCCTGTCGTGAGAGGGGGTGAGCGAAGCTGATTGGGTGCTTGCTTGAATCGTGTCACGATTTTGAAAACTTGCAGTTTTTCATCTTCTTTTGCATCCTGCTCTGACCTGCCTGCTTGCTTCCCTTTTCGTCTTCCATTCTCCTGTCAGGTGCGACCCGGTCAAGCGACCCAGCCAACTCGCGCCTTGTGGTGCCTGGGTCGCTTGACGTTCCTTCTGGGATCTGAGTTGGCTGAGGGTGCCCCAGATGCTGTAAATGTACATGCTCTGGTCATATTCTATTGCCACCTGCTTGCGTCCTCCCTTCTTTTCTTCCACTTTCCTGACAGGTGCTATCGCGCCTTGTAGCGTCTGGGTCGCTTGATGTTCCTGCTGGGATCTGAGCTGGTTAGTTTTGAGGCGCCTCAAAACTGGGTCGCTTGACATTCCTGCTGGTTTCTGAGTTGGAGTGTGCCCCAGCAAGGGGCCTTGCTTGCTCTCACTGGGGGCGTGTCTGGAGGTGGCTAAACACTGGATGGTTTAGCTGGGGGGTAGTGTTTCTTCAGATGGTTCAACTGTAAATATGGACGCACCTTGTTGTGCCTCAGAAGTTCACTCACTGAAAATGTTCTCGAGTTTAATGCCATACTGACCTCTTATGACAATTCACAGCCCTGTGCTGTGGGCGAAGGCATGAGCCGTACATACCACACAAAAGCACCTCTTCTGGTTCAGCCAGCCTTGCTACGGATGAGTGATGCCCCCACCCCACCATCCATGGCTATGCACTGCCCTGTGGCGGGGCCATCGCGTACGCAAGTCACACGGCCTTCCTGCCTCCTCCCCGCCTTCTCCCCTCCTCCCAGAGCGCTCTGATCACAGCTCGGGGTTCAGCCCTGCACCCCTCTGCACCCCTCTGATCGAGAGGGGTGGAAGGGAGTGCAGAGGGGTTCAGCCATGCACCCCTCTGCACCCCTCAGGATCCCTCTGATCGAGAGGGGTGGAAGGGAGTGCAGAGGAGTTCAGCCGTGTGATGCGGGCAGAAGCGTCTGCCTGAAGCAAGGGAATTAATCCCACCTCCCCTGCCCCTAAGCCATCACAGCTTGGGGTTCAGCCTTGCCCTCATGAGATGGTGACCCCCGTCCACAGCGATGCACTGCCCTGTGATATACGCAGAGGCGTCTGACGCAAGGAGCAGCAGCACGGACGTGAGGTCGGGATGGATCACGCCCCACCTGTAGAGGAAGGGAGGGGGAGAGGGGCAGGGGGGCGGAAGGGAGGGGGGGAGGGGCAGGGGGGCGGAAGGGAGGGGGGGAGTGGCAGGGGAGCGAAAAGGAGGGGAGGAGGGGCAGGGGGCGGAACGCGGCGCAGAGGCATCTGAGGCAAGCAGCAGCACGGACAGAAGGTCGGGATGGATCACGCTTCTTTGAAGAGGAAGGGAGGGGGAATGGGAAGCAGAGGGGGAGGGAGGAACCCTAGCTTCTGGACCTTTGAGTCGACTCAAAAGTAATCTCAATGTAGGCAAAGGCAACTTCAACCTCAATGTCAACGGCATTCCAACGTCAAAAAGTCATACGATGCAAAGATGCAAGAGAGAGGAGAACCCCAAACTCTGGACCCTGATCTCTCGAACGTTTCCTCTGAACCCTGACCCATTGTTAACCACCGATTGCTGAATCGACCCCTGGATCTTAAACCCAAAACGCATGATCACGCCGCTGGCTCAAAGTTGACTCAAGGTTGACTCAACTTTGACTCAAAGTTGACGCAACGTTGACTCAAAGTTGACTCAACAGCTCAACGGATTTGCCAGCTAATTCAACCAGCCTTTAACCCCTGCATGCTCCTTTCACCCCTGCACCCACCGGTCCTACCTGCCCACTGGCACCACCACTCGCGCGTTTTTGTCCATCCACGGCTTGTCGAGCAATTTCTGGGGGAGGGGCAGAAAACAGGCCAGGGAATAAAGGCCCAGCAAAGGATTTTGTCCCTGCCTGATGGTGGGAGAAACCCTGAGAAGGACTTTTCTCCTAGTTGCTCCATGGGAAGTAGTATTCACATTTTAAGGGTGTGTACGCATGGCCTCATCCTCTTCTCCCCCCTTCCCCTGCCCTCCTCCCCCACTACCTCCTCCCACTCCCCCCCTCTTGCTTGCCTCGGTGAAATCCGTTTGGAATATTCCGGGCGCGATGCCGTTGCAGCGAATGCCATGCCTCCCATCCCATTCCCCCACCTCACCTCCCCACCTCCCCCTTTCTTGCCTCGGTGATTTCGGATCGGAATATCCCCGGTGCGATGCAGTTGCAGCGAACGCCGCGCTCGCCAAGCTCCACTGCCATGGCCTGCGGTGGGGGGAGAATGCAAGCAAGGAGGCATGCATACATGAATACATGGCCCATTGATACATGGCCCATTGATACATGGCCCATTGATACATGGCCCATTGATACATGGCCCATTGAATACATGGCCCGTTGAATACATGGCCCATTGATCCATGGCCCATTGATACATGGCCCATTGAATACATGGCCCATTGAATACATGGCCCATTGATACATGGCCCATTGATACATGGCCCATTGACACATGGCCCATTGATACATGGCCCATTGATACATGGCCCATTGATACATGGCCCATTGATACATGGCCCATTGATACATGGCCCATTGAATACATGGCCCATTGAATACATGGCCCATTGATACATGGCCCATTGAATACATGGCCCATTGAATACATGGCCCATTGACACATGGCCCATTGATACATGGCCCATTGATACATGGCCCATTGATACATGGCCCATTGAATACGTGGCCCATTGAATACATGGCCCATTGATACATGGCCCATTGAATACATGGCCCATTGAATACATGGCCCATTGAATACATGGCCCATTGACACATGGCCCATTGATACATGGCCATTGACACATGGCCCATTGATACATGGCCCATTGACACATGGCCCATTGATACATGGCCCATTGACACATGGCCCATTGACACATGGCCCATTGATACATGGCCCATTGATACATGGCCCATTGATACATGGCCCATTGATACATGGCCCATTGATACATGGCCCATTGATACATGGCCCATGGAATACATGGCCCATGGAATACATGGCCCATTGATACATGGCCCATTGATACGTGGCCCATTGATACATGGCCCATTGACACATGGCCCATTGATACATGGCCCATTGACACATGGCCCATTGATACATGGCCCATTGATACATGGCCCATTGACACATGGCCCATTGACACATGGCCCATTGAATACATGGCCCATTGATACATGGCCCATTGACACATGGCCCATTGATACATGGCCCATTGATACATGGCCCATTGATACATGGCCCATTGACACATGGCCCATTGACACATGGCCCATTGACACATGGCCCATTGATACATGGCCCATTGATACATGGCCCATTGATACATGGCCCATTGATACATGGACCATTGATCCACGGCCCATTGATACATGGCCCATTGATACATGGCCCATTGCCACATGGCCCATTGACACATGGCCCATTGACACATGGCCCATTGATACATGGCCCATTGATACATGGCCCATTGATACATGGCCCATTGATACATGCCCCATTGATACATGGCCCACTGAATACATGGCCCATTGAATACATGGCCCATTGATACATGGCCCATTGATACGTGGCCCATTGATACATGGCCCATTGACACATGGCCCATTGATACATGGCCCATTGACACATGGCCCATTGATACATGGCCCATTGACACATGGCCCATTGACACATGGCCCATTGACACATGGCCCATTGATACATGGCCCATTGAATACATGGCGCATTGATACATGGCCCATTGATACATGGCCCATTGATACATGGCCCGTTGATACATGCCCATTGATACATGGCCCATTGATACATGGCCCATTGATACATGGCCCATTGACACCTGGCCCATTGATACATGGCCCATTGATACATGGCCCATTGATCCACGGCCCATTGATACATGGCCCATTGATACATGGCCCATTGATACATGGCCCATTGACACATGGCCCATTGACACATGGCCCATTGACACATGGCCCATTGACACATGGCCCATTGAATACATGGCCCATTGATACATGGCCCATTGATACATGGCCCGTTGATACATGGCCCATTGATACATGGCCCATTGATACATGGCTCATTGATACATGGCCCATTGACACATGGCCCATTGATACATGGCCCATTGATACATGGCCCATTGATACATGGCCCATTGATACATGGCCCATTGACACATGGCCCATTGATACATGGCCCATTGATACATGGCCCATTGAATACATGGCCCATTGAATACATGGCCCATTGAATACATGGCCCATTGAATACATGGCCCATTGAATACATGGCCCATTGATACATGGCCCATTGATACATGGCCCATTGACACATGGCCCATTGACACATGGCCCATTGACACATGGCCCATTGATACATGGCCCATTGACACATGGCCCATTGATACATGGCCCATTGACACATGGCCCATTGACACATGGCCCATTGACACATGGCCCATTGATACATGGCCCATTGAATACATGGCGCATTGATACATGGCCCATTGATACATGGCCCATTGATACATGGCCCGTTGATACATGGCCCATTGATACATGGCCCATTGATACATGGCCCATTGATACATGGCCCATTGACACCTGGCCCATTGATACATGGCCCATTGATACATGGCCCATTGATCCACGGCCCATTGATACATGGCCCATTGATACATGGCCCATTGATACATGGCCCATTGACACATGGCCCATTGACACATGGCCCATTGACACATGGCCCATTGACACATGGCCCATTGATACATGGCCCATTGATACATGGCCCATTGATACATGGCCCATTGACACATGGCCCATTGATACATGGCCCATTGATACATGGCCCATTGATACATGGCCCATTGACACATGGCCCATTGATACATGGCCCATTGAATACATGGCCCATTGAATACATGGCCCATTGATACATGGCCCATTAATACATGGCCATTGATACATGGCCCATTGATACATGGCCCATTAATACATGGCCCATTGATACATGGCCCATTGACACATGGCCCATTGATACATGGCCCATTGACACATGGCCCATTGATACATGGCCCATTGACACATGGCCCATTGATACATGGCCCATTGACACATGGCCCATTGACACATGGCCCATTGATACATGGCCCATTGATACATGGCCCATTGATACATGGCCCATTGATACATGGCCCATTGATACATGGCCCATTGATACATGGCCCATTGATACATGGCCCATTGATACATGGCCCATTGATACATGGCCCATTGACACATGGCCCATTGATACATGGCCCATTGAATACATGGCCCATTGAATACATGGCCCATTGAATACATGGCCCATTGAATACATGGCCCATTGATACATGGCCCATTGATACATGGCCCATTGATACATGGCCCATTGATACATGGCCCATTGACACATGGCCCATTGATACATGGCCCATGACACATGGCCCATTGATACATGGCCCATTTACACATGGCCCATTGACACATTGCCCATTGATACATGGCCCATTGATACATGGCCCATTGATACATGGCCCATTGATACATGGCCCATTGATACATGGCCCATTGATACATGGCCCATTGATACATGGCCCATTGATACATGGCCCATTGACACATGGCCCATTGATACATGGCCCATTGATACATGGCCCATTGACACATGGCCCATTGATACATGGCCAATTGATACATGGCTCATTGATACATGGCCCATTGATACATGGCCCATTGACACATGGCCCATTGACACATGGCCCATTGACACATGGCCCATTGACACATGGCCCATTGATACATGGCCCATTGATACATGGCCCATTGATACATGGCCCATTGATACATGGCCCATTGATCCACGGCCCATTGATACATGGCCCATTGAATACATGGCCCATTGATACATGGCCCATTGCCACATGGCCCATTGACACATGGCCCATTGACACATGGCCCATTGATACATGGCCCATTGATACATGGCCCATTGATACATGGCCCATTGATACATGCCCCATTGATACATGGCCCACTGAATACATGGCCCATTGAATACATGGCCCATTGATACATGGCCCATTGATACGTGGCCCATTGATACATGGCCCATTGACACATGGCCCATTGATACATGGCCCATTGACACATGGCCCATTGATACATGGCCCATTGACACATGGCCCATTGACACATGGCCCATTGACACATGGCCCATTGATACATGGCCCATTGAATACATGGCCCATTGATACATGGCCCATTGATACATGGCCCGTTGATACATGGCCCGTTGATACATGGCCCATTGATACATGGCCCATTGATACATGGCCCATTGATACATGGCCCATTGACACATGGCCCATTGATACATGGCTCATTGATACATGGCCCATTGAAACATGGCTCATTGATACATGGCCCATTGACACATGGCCCATTGATACATGGCCCATTGATACATGGCCCATTGACACATGGCCCATTGATACATGGCCCATTGATACATGGCCCATTGAATACATGGCCATTGAATACATGGCCCATTGAATACATGGCCCATTGAATACATGGCCCATTGAATACATGGCCCATTGATACATGGCCCATTGATACATGGCCCATTGACACATGGCCCATTGACACATGGCCCATTGACACATTGGCCCATTGATACATGGCCATTGACACATGGCCCATTGACACATGGCCCATTGATACATGGCCCATTGACACATGGCCCATTGACACATGGCCCATTGATACATGGCCCATTGAATACATGGCCCATTGATACATGGCCCATTGATACATGGCCCATTGATACATGGCCCATTGATACATGGCCCGTTGATACATGGCCCATTGATACATGGCCCATTGACACATGGCCCATTGATACATGGCCCATTGACACATGGCCCATTGATACATGGCCCATTGATACATGGCCCATTGATACATGGCCCATTGACACATGGCCCATTGATACATGGCCCATTGATACATGGCCCATTGATACATGGCCCATTGAATACATGGCCCATTGATACATGGCCCATTGAATACATGGCCCATTGACACATGGCCCATTGATACATGGCCCATTGACACATGGCCCATTGATACATGGCCCATTGATACATGGCCCATTGATACATGGCCCA